GTGTCGGAGGAGGGAGGAGAGAGGAGAGAGGAGCGGGAGTGAGAGGGCGAGGGAGGGGGGAGGGAGGAAGAGGAGAAGAGGGATGGGGGAGGAGGAGGAGGAGGAGGAGGACGAGGAGGAGGAGGAGGAGGAATGAGGCCCGTCTCCGAGCCCCCCGGAGATCGCGCGCATCGTTTCGGTGTTCTGGTGTCGCGCTTGCACTATGTGCATTCGTGGTAAAGCACAATGAACATTCGAAAATACGCGCGCGCCCGAGCCCCTCCAGGAACCCCGCGCATGTTTGCTGTCGTTGGTCTTTGCGTTTGTTTTTTGGTTGTAGTTGCAGCTGCGCGACCCCAGTGTTCCCCGGGGTGCGCGCTTGGCACCCCGGAGACTGCAGGAGCTCCAGAGGTCAAGGGCCCAGGGTTCAGGGGTGGCCAGTGAGAGGGTGTCAGCGACGATCGAAGGGCGCCGAGGCACAGGGTCTTGTGACCCTGAGGCGGCCGCCTGGATCGCGAGCTCTTGTGGGGGCCCTTCTCGTTCCTGATCTGCCTCCTCCTCCTCCTCTGCCCTCTTCCCCTCCTCTCCTCATTTCAGTCGCACAACGGACGAACGCTGTTTTCCCCTCTCCCCCGAACCTGCGCCGCCACCCTCCCCAGCGGCAGTGCGCTCTACCAGCTGACTTGGGGGAGTCACGGGGCTGGCGCATTGTGCTGCCGCTTGCGTGCTTCCCCCAGGGGTCTTGGCCAATGTCAAGATTCGCCTGCCTAGAAGTTGAATGAATCTCGTGCTCGGGTCCCACGGGAGGCCCTGTTGGGCCGTTCTTGGGGCCGTCTAGGGTGTTTGTTGGGCCATCGTTGAGAGTCCCCTTGGGCCGTCTTGAGCTGATGGCAGCTCGAGCAGACGAGAATCCAAAAATCATGCAGAAACATACTTCTAATCAGTGGTCTGAGCTTATTCGGACCCTGTTAGAGATTCGGGACCTCGAGGGGTATCCTGGGGCGTCTTGCAGGAACGTTCGGCCGCCTCGGGGCCATCTTTGGCTGTCTCCGAGGCGTAGTGGGCAATATTGTTGTTTTTGGTTGCTTGCGCGGACCGCCTTGGGAGCGCGGGGCGCATTTTCATCGTGTTTTTTGAAAGGGCAATAGGACCGCGGTGTGGGAGGACTTGGAGCGCTTGGGGGTAGCGCCTGGAAATGCGGGAAGAGCGATCTCAAGTAGGCGCGTTTGGGATGAGGGGTCTAGGGGGTAAGAGCCATGCGGGAAGCGCGCAATCCTCGAGAGGGCGCGCATGGAATGAGGGTCCAGGCATCCGTTGTCGCGCTGGACGTGTACCATCTTCGAGTGGGCACGCATGGAAAAGGGGACCGGGCATTCGCTGCCACGCGGGAATTGTACCATCCTCGAGCGGGCACGCGTATGAGTCTATGAGGGTGGTTCAGGAATTATCTGCCATGCGGGACGTGCACCTTCCTGGGGCGGGCACGATGGAAGTGACCTCGGCGAGCAGGGGGGATGCACGCAGCAGCCTGCTACCGCGGAGGGGGAGCCACACTAGATTACAAGCGCCCTACCAGACAGACGTTGACACATTCTTCCACGCCTCAAATTTGAACAAGGCACGGTGGGGGACAGCGTGCATTCAGCACCCATAGAGTTGATGCGCGTACACAGCACATAAGCCACCATGCAACAAGCACGCGGATCACGCGCGACTGCCATGCGTCAGCAAATCCGAAGCAGGTCACATTGTTGACACACACGCGACATATTCAAAACCATGTGCAGCAGCTCCCTGATTGGGATCACAGGAAACAAATAATGGTAGCTATTCTGGTTTCGTCGGGCACCCTTGCGAGCCCCGCCCTCCGTACCCTGCCCCCCCCGCCCCCCGCGGCACCCGTGCATTTCTGGCGTATGTCACATGTGCGAGGTCAACTGACTGATTGAATTGTTGAATAATTGGTCGCGCCCGTTAACATGCAGCTTCACATACGGACGCCGAACACAATTCATGGCGCAATCAACATCAGGCTGGCAGATGACTGACTGCTGAGTGCGCAACCCATGGCGCAACCAATAGTTGCCGCGATGGTCGGCGGCTGGGGGCGCAACCCATGGCATAACACATAGTTAGAAGTTTGTTTTGCATGCAGGCGCAGTCCATGATGCATCCCACTGGTTGCGAAACCCATGGCGCATCTTACGACAAGGCACGGTGCAATGCAACCCGTGGATGGCGCAGCTTGTGTCGCAACCCACGGATCGTGCAAGCAGTGGCGCCACAAATCACAGGTGGGCTCACGTGCGGCAGGACGGCTCAACCTATGGCGCAACCAATTGCACATTGTTTTACGTCCGGCAACCGAGTGCGCAACCTATGCGGCAAGATATGGCGCACTCTGTGGATGGCGCAACCCATGGATGTCGCAACCCATGGCGGAATCCATTGGCATTGGTGACGTAACCAGAGGCACCTACCATGGATGGCGCAACCCATGGATGGCGCAAATATGGCACAACATGTTGCTCAACGCATGCGTGGCGCATGAGTTTTTTTTTGTCAACTGCATGTTCTACAGGGCTGTGCCTAAATAGCGTTACGCTGTTTGGACCGGTGGTGGTACCCAATTGGCGAGCTATCTTGTGATTTCGTCTGTCGAGTGCGCATCATACTGCCCAACGAATAGCAGGCAGATTTGTGATCATTCGCCGAGTGCGCAACCTACGACGCAATCAAGGCGCAATTTGTAGCGCAACCCATGAGTGGCGCAACCCATGTGCGGCGCTACCACTGCCGCCATCCATGGATGTCGCAACCTATGATGCAACCCATGGCTGGCACAACCTACGGCGTAGTCCATGGATGGCGCCACCCATGGACGTGCAACCTCTGGCGCAACCCATGGATGGCGCAACGTACAGATGGCGCGACCCATGGGCTCAAGCACAAGCAACATGTTGCCTGTTTGTCATGCTATGGGAAGATATGAGTATGAAAATCAATGAAGCAATGAACATGTGCGAACTCCTGGGTCTTGCGCTTATTTGTTTGTGCCTCCCTGGGCCCCTGTGGGATCGCGCAACCAATGCCACAGCCTCATCTGTGGCGCACCCCGCGGCATGCTCTGCGGGGCTGAGCGAGAATTATACAGCCGCTTGGGCCGCTGGTGGCGAGCTGTGTTGCGAGTTTGTGCTGGGACGCCCTCGCCCCACTTCAAATAAGTGGGGAAGAAGATGCGGAGGAGGGGGAGGGATGCTGGGGAGGGAAGAGGCGGAGAATCGAAGAATAATCAACTGCATAAACGTAAACGCTCGGAGTTCCGCGCGGATCCCTTGGACCCGCGCCGGACCCCCATGGCGTCGCCTCCAGCGCCGCCCCTTGCGCGCTCCGCGCGCCAGGGAGTGGAATCCATTTGTTCGTTATTCTCAGATGAGGAGGCAGTGGATGAGGCAGAATCGTATACGAGCGTCCTCGCGCCAAGCTTCGCCGCCCCCGGCGGTGCCCTGTCGAGTACCCCAGCGGGCGCCCCTGAGGAGATAGCAAGGCGAGGCAGGTCGCGGGGAGAGGAGAGAGAGCGTAGGAGGATCTCCCGCGGTGTCCTTGTTCTCTTCTTTGTTCTACTCCCCCTCGCCCTCTACCTCCTCCTCCTCCGCTTCCTCCCTCCGCCTCTCCTCGCTCTTCCTCTCCTCCTATTGTGTAGCGATTGGAGCTCTCTTTTCCCTTTCCCTCCTCCCTCCTTGGTCCACCCGCTCCTCGCCCTCTCGGCGCCCACTTCTTCTGGGGCCGAGGCGGGGAGGCGGGGCATGACGCCCAGACATCCGACGATGCGCTCATATATACGAATGCATATGCATATACACATATGTGTGTATATATAAATATGTATGCACACATATATATATATGTATGTATAAATAAGCATGGATATTATATGTCTATGTGTACGTATGAATAATGTATGTGTAGATGTATGTGTATGTGCATGGATGCGTATATGCATGAATGTATGCATGCTGACATGCTTGCTTGCATGTGTGTATGTGTGTCTGTATGTATGTCTGCCTCTGTGTATGTATGTATGTATGTACGTACGTGTGTATGTCTGTATGTACGTACGCACGTCTGTTCGTACGTGCGCTAGCTCGCGTGCATGCATGCATGGGTGTATATAAATCAGATTTGCATGTGTGTAGGTGTGTGTGTGGATGTACGTACGTAGGTATACCTTGATCATTTCATGCGTATGTGTGAGACTGTATGTATGTATGTAAGTATGAATGTATGTAGTGTATGTGTGTACATGCGTAAGTACGTATGTGTATGGTTATGTATGAATTATGTTTATGGCATGCACCTGTGAGTTGACACATACAAGTGTATGCACATAACACTGTACATGTACACAGTCATGTCCATCTACAGTTATGCATACAGACGTGCATGTACACACATATTCTTGTATACATACACAACTACCTCTACACACATACACCTGCACATGCATGTATACATACACATACAACATCAATTACAACTGCAACTCGATATACATACACGTGCACATGCTTATATTCGCATGTATGTATCGATGCATAATATTCGCATACGCATGCACACAGCTACATATATGTGGACATGTGTAGATATGCTCAGCTCGCCCACCGCATACAAATCACACATCTTATCATGATAGTCGGGTATCCCCGAATCGGGGTCGTGGAGGAGAGGTTCTCCCAAGGTTGGGTCAGGGAACATACCCAGCTCAATACTCACATGTCCTTCTTAATCGGGCCGTAACCCACCTCTTTCCCTGCCCCACCTGTGTGCCCCCCCGACCTAAACAATGTTGGATGGCCCTGGGACAACAACATCAGCTCCCAGAGGCCGAAATGGAGGGCAGAGCTGCGGGACCCAAAACATCGGTTCGCCAGAGGTCTGGGAGTCTGGATCTGACTCCGCTGGCTGTCGCGGCGCTGTTGGGCGGGGGGGGGGAGCCCTCGCCCGCCGCCTCTGGCCAGGACACGAGTCCGTGCACGCCATCGACAGGGTCGTGGAGGTGGCGAAGCAGGTCAGCATGCAGGCCGTGCGTGCGCCTCTGTGCCTGGCCAGGGCCATCCTGGGCCCGTCCATGGTGTGCAGATCTTCCCGGCATCGGCCAGGAGGGCGTGTGTGTACGTCATGCCCGGGTCCCGGGGGGCCCCGGCCAGGCGCGGTGGCGTTGTGTGGATGCCTTCTGCGTGCGAAGATGAGGTTTCTCTGCTTGTGTTGCTGCTGCAGTCGGATCGAGGTATAAAGATCGAGGTCGGTTCTGGGAGGGCACCCTAGTGTTGTTCGTGTTTGTTGGATGTTCCTGTGCATCCTGAAAGGGTACCCCTGGATGTTCTGTTTGTTTTGGCCGACGGTCTCATGTTCTTCAGGGGTGTTCTTCTGGCGTCGGTCCGACTGTACTCCTGTTAGGACTCCAGCCGTTGCTGTGCATCGCGCTCCTGTCGTTGTATTTTTGCTGCCGAGATCGCACTTGTTGCTATGGCTCCTGCTTTGCGGCGCCTCGGGCGAAGAGGAGGTGGAGGAGACGTGTCTTGTCGAACCCCAATGTGTTTATTCGTGGACCCTCGTAAGATCCCCCTCCGTTCCCCCTGTCACCGTCCGGTTCACACCTCTGCGTCTCCCTTCCCTTCTGCCCATCGTTCTTTTAGAAGCCCCGCACGAATGCGCAGAGCCCCCCTGCGTGACACCTCTCTCACCCGTCCACGCTCCACCTCCGCGTCTTTCTCCTTCTCGTCTAGAAACCCACTAGGAAGGCCCGCACAAGCCCAGGGCCCCGTACTCCACTAGTCTCCCCCTCTTGGCCCTATGCCTCCCTTAGAAACACCCACAATAATCCCTTAGAGCCCTCTACGTGAAGCCTTCCTCCCCTCCCCACGCTCGACCTCTGTTCCCCCCCACTGGAAGACCCCACAAGGATCCCAAGAGCCCCCATACGTGAGCCCTCGCTGCCTCCCTCCACGATCCACCTCTAATTGTCCCTCCGCCTTCCTCTTCCTACAGCGCTGTAGGATCCCCCCAAGAAGCCCTCAGAACCCATACGTGACACCTTCCTCCCCCCATCAACTCGCCACCGCTGCTGTTCCCTGTCACTTTCCCAAGAAACCCGCTAAACAAAATCCCCCACCACATTCCACAGAGCCCCCGACGTCAACCCACCCCACACTCCACGCCATCGTTGTCGTCGCCGTCGCTCTCGCCGCACAGCTGCCGAACATCCTGGAGCCATTCAAGCCGCCGGAGCCGGCGGCCGTGGAGGCGAGTGGTTCGTCGTCGTTCGTCGCCGCTTTCGTCTTCGTGGGGTGTCATCGTCGCAGGACTGGGGTGAGGAGGGTGAGAAGGGAAGAGGGAGGAGCGCAGGGGAGGGCCACCTGGTCGGCATCCGCTGCGTGCTCGGCACGGGCCGGGCGCTTGGCCTCAGCCAGCCGGCCGAGCGAGAGGCACCTGCGCGGCGCAGACTGGCGCGGTGCTCGCCCTCAGCGCGGCGCGCGGCCTGCGTGGGGCTCTCGGCTTTCTCGGCCACCAGCTCGTCGGCCGCCCCGCGGACGGCCTCCGCCTGCCACTGCAGTGCCTGCAGCCGCGCGTCGGGCACGGCCCGGCGCGCCGTACGCCGGCGCTGGCCTCCAGCGCTGGCGCTCGGCGCAGCCTGGGCCTTACCCCGCCGAGGCGCCGCGTGCGCCTCCACGCGCGGTTTGGCGGGCGCTCTGCAGGGGGAGCCGCGTCGCTCTCGCCGTCCTCGTGCCGCTCGCCGCGCTCCTGCGTCCACGGCTGGGCCAGGCCGCCGAAGACGGGGCACCGCGGAGATGCGCAGCCAGTGCTGCGCCAGGTGGGGGCTGTGGTCTTGGCGTTTGCATCCCAGGCTGTTGCCTGGGCTGTAACAGTTCACGCTGCAGTCTGGGTAGTCGACACAAGGGGCTCTGAGCCAGCACACGGAGCTATGAACCGGGACAAAATGCCCTTCCTCGAACCCCAGGAATTCGTCGAAGCGCTCCAGCTACCGCCTCTGCCCCGCTGGCCCCAGCGAGCCTTCCCCCTTCAACCTCTGCGGCAGGCGTACGAGGCCGCCAAGAGTTGCGACCCCGCCGCCGAGTTCGAGGCGCAAAACCTCATTTCGGGCACCCGTCTGCGGCCCGCGGACGTGCTCACGGGGGGCGCTGGGGCACGGACTCGCGGCGCTCGCTGTTGGAACCGCCTCTCCCGACGCGTGCAATGCTGGTTTGGAGTGCGTGTCCTGCATGTATGAGCGTCAGCCGGCTCACGCATTACGCCCCCCCCCCCACCACAGCGACGTTCTGGACCGCCAGAACATCTTGTACCAGCCATCAATATGGTGAGTCGACGGCCGACCCCACCCCCGGAAGACACTCAGCCCCCGCACGTTCGCCCAGCGGAGGGGATGCTCAGGCGGGGTGTGGCGGCGCCGATGCCTGGCCAGCGCAGCCAGCGTGGAGATGCGGCGGCGGGCGGCCCCCTGTGTCGGGCGTGCTGGCCGAGCAGGGGCGGGGACTGGGGGCGCCAGCTGCCCCCCCCCCGACTCTCCCCGCAGGCGCGGGGGCCTTCCCCCGCCCGCCCCCCACACAAGCACGCGCGGGGGCCTGGCGGCTCACGCCCTGCGGCGGTGCTCACCCCGCTGCCGCTTGCCTGCCTGCCTACTTGCTCGTTGCCCTTCCCCCCGTCCTCCTCGTCTCCCTCTTTTCCATGGGGCCGGAGGCCACGTGTCTGCGGGCGCGGAGTTCAACGGGGTGCCCTGCGACGGCGTTCGCGCCCGTCGCTTTCCTCGTCCCCCTCCTCCTCGAGTTGTCGCGCCCGAGTTCGGGTCCATGCGTTTTGTTTGCCCTCGTGCGTCTGCCACGCAACAAGAACAGCAATTGGCACACATGCGTTTCCTCCCCAGTTCTGTCTTCCCATTTTTCCTTGTCGATTTCATGTCGTGTTATATTGCGTACGTGGCCAACAAGGCCATCGGGAACAGCGCGCGGCGCAACGTGAGACGCACAGCTTAGTACGGCGCCTGGTGGCACAAACGCTGCCGCCGTTCGCCCCCGTCCTGTTCGCTCCTGACCCGGGCCGTGTTTCACGGTTTTAGTGGCAATGCGAGTTGCCTCGGAGTTCTGTTGGTGTTTTCCTCATACGTCGTAGGTTGTAGCGCTGGCAGTGGCAGCCCCAAATGCAGTGACCCACGCTGTGGGCCAGGCTGGGTTCCCCGAGCTGTCGTCCAGGCTGTAGCGCAAATGTTCGTCGCCCAGGTGGTAGCGCACGGACCGGCAGTCCAGCCTGTGGTTCAGGTTGTTGTCCAAACTGTAGTAGCCAAAGCTATGGTCGTCCAGGTTTTCTCCTTCCCTCGTCCTTGTCGTAACGCTGCGCCTGCCAGTCGCAGAACGAGTTGCCTTGCTGCTCCCAGCCGTGTAATGGGTCGCACTGCTGGTTCCAATCATGGTGGGCGTTGTATTGGTCCCAGGCGCGGTGCGAGTCTCACCTGCCCCAGTCATTGTCTCAGCCGCTCTGCTCCAGTTCGTGCTGCTCGTACGGCTTGGAGCCGTAGTCGCTCTTGGGCTTTTGCTTGGAGCCGCAGTGCGAGTCGTCGCCTTGATTGATGCTCCCAGTCTGGTTGCGTACGCGGCTCCCAGTCGTGCCCGTCCCGTTCGCCCTGGTTCCAGTTGTGCGAGTTCCCCGTCGTGCTGTCCCCAGTCCTGCGGTTCGAGTGTCGCACTGCCTCCGGTGTGGGCTCGTTGTGCCACTCCCAATGGTCGCATTGCTCCCATGCAACTCGACACACCACGAGACCTCAGAAGGATCGAGCAGCGGGACATCTTGTGTCGGCGGCGGACAGAGTAGGCTGTGCGCCTCACCGCTTGTTTGGCCAGAAGAAGAGCCGATCCCTGACCCTCGACCTTCGAAAGTGTTTCCAATCCAGCCAAATTCTTCAATCCGTGTCCCGCGAGGCCTTGAGCTTCTCGTAGAGATAGCTGTAGCTGTTGTCGCACGGCCCTGTCTGAGCGCACGGTTGCTGGCCAGCTGTACACGGCGGCTGACAGGGATCGTGCCCCCCCCAGCAAGCGCGCGAGGGCGTTCGAGTGATTCCGACAAGCGCGCGGGAGGCCCGCGTGGTCGCATCAGACGAACAGGTTGACACCAACATATGGATTTCGTAAGGCTTTGCAGAACCGCGCGCGCCGACTTTGTGTTTGAAACATTATGTCGCGAAACCAATGTTGTTTGGTTTCATGTGTTTTCGGGGACCTCGATTTGAAATCTGAAGGATGCCAGCATGCGCGCGCGACGGCGCGCGCGTGTGTATTTCGTTCCAATTTTAGCACGGTATGTTTGAGCGTCGATGAGTGTTGATAAACGAGTGCGCGCACATAAAAACATTCGACAGGGATGATGGGGGGAGCGATAAGGGATTTGGCTGGGATGATACGGACTCATCTCTAAGCTGAGCGATGGGGCAATCTTACATGTAAATTGCATGATCCCAGCGGGAACCGAATGTTGGGGGGGAGCTCCTAAACTCTTCTTAGAAAGGATAATCTATGCGAGGCGGCCACGGGGTGCCGTCGGCGGCAACGGAGCCGCCAGAACAGCGTTCAGGCCCAGACGACGGGCGGCGACGAGACGGCGACAGGGTGGCCACTGCGGCAACGGAGCCGCCAGATTGACATCCATGGCCAGTTCCATATTCCAGAAGTAAGAACCCCTGAATGCCAGCATTGTTTAAAGAATGCTTGTACTATATGTTCGTATCGGACGTGCGCCTCCATCATCAGCAGCATACAGTACTAGTACGTCCGCCAGCGTCCCACTTGGGTTCCGTTCTGATACAGTCTCGGCGTCTGAGCCACCTCGGCCCGTTTGGCTGCTGAGTGGGCTCAGACGCCGACCGGGCTCATGAGGGTGTCTGCGGTTTGGTTGGTTCGATTGGGTCGTTCGGCGACGTCGTGGTCGGATGCGATCGGTCGGTTCGGGCCAGTCGGTGAAATCGTGATCACGTTGCGGCGTATCTGTTCTTCGGTCGGTCTCGGTGCCGCTGCCGGCTCGGTGATCTTTTGTTCGCGCCGCCGCCATGGGGCGCGCGCCACCCCTGGAGGCGGTGGACGTGCTCGACGGGGACAGCCCGCAGGACAACGGCAGCGTGTCGCAGCCCTCGCAGGATGGGGGGCGGGGCCATGCGCGGGGCGCAAGTGCTTCGGGGACAACGATAACCGTCGATCGTTGAAAGTAGGTGTTTTTGGATCCTCTGATTCCAACCTACTTTAGGCGCCTTCCTACCTCATTGATCGAGTGGGATCCCTGTTACTTCATCTTTAGGTGGCGGGCGGAAGCCCAATCTACTTCAACGCCTTCCTACTTCATGCTTCTAACCACTTCTTCCGACCGATTGGTTCATGGCGGAAGTCTGCCCCCGATCGCCCATTCATCGCCGATAGGGGCCCTGTAGCCCGCCCCGCACAGGAACGTGCGGATTCGCAATCAGGTGCTTGCGGCCGATCTATCGGCGATGCATCATCGATTCAATGTCGAGGTTCCCCCCCCCCTGAGCCAGTGCCACAGTCCCAGATTCGGAGGCTGGGAAGTCCCCCAGCGTTTGCGAAGTTTTCTAAGCCTTCCCCGAAGAGATAGGAAGAGACCTCTCAGAAGGCGCGAGGGCTTCTGAGAAGTCCCGCCGCCTTTGCGAAGGCCTTCTCCTTCTCACTCCCCCCCGGGCTCGCCGCCGACACATACCCGGCGCCTCGAGCCAACATCGAGGCGGCTGGTCTGTCACTATTTCTGAGCCTGTGGGGGGGGGCTGGTTTCGGCCAGCTGTGGGCAGGGTGTCGGGGGGGCCGGGGACCCGCGCAGCGAAGCAGCATCGAGGTGACGGACGTCTGGGGAGAGCCCCCTGCCCTTTCCATAATAAGTCCGTCTCGTCTTTCCGAACCGTTTGCGGGCAGGCTCCCAGAAGCTACCGTTCTCCGACCCCTTGGAGCAGTGGCATCAACACGACCGTTTTTTTGTCATTCTCGTTTTCGACCTCCGTGGGCCCAGGAGGGTAGAATGTCTGGCCGGGCCTGCCCGCCCGGCATCTGAGTTTCGCCTGGTCGAGAGAGCGCATGAGGCCGTGATGCGTGGCGCTTCGTGTCCCGAGTCCTGGGGGAGCCGTGGCACGTGACACCTCTCCGCGTCGTGTCGCGGGTGTTCTTCTCGTCTTCCTCGTCGTCCTCCTTCTCTTGGGTCCTTCCTGGGCCTCTTGTGACTCTTGTGGAAGGCGTTCTTGGGTCCCTTGGGCCGCATTGGGCCGTCTTGGGACCTCTTGGACGGTCTTGGGGCCCTCTCAGGCCGTCTTTGGGCCGTCGAGGGGTCCTCTAAGGCCATCGTAGGCCCCTCCGGAGGCCCTCTTGCGCCAGCTTGGGGCTGTCTTGGGGCCGTCCTGGGCCGTCTGGGGTCCCTCTTGGCCTGTCTGGAGGCCGTCTTGGAGCGTTAGTTGGCTTTTTGGGGCCTTCTGCGGCCGTCTTGCGGCCATCTCGGAGGCGTACGTGGCCGTCTGGAGCTGAAGGAGGTCCGAGAAGGTGAAGTTGCCGAAATGTTCAATGAGTTTGGCCTCTTCGAGCCCCACTGGAGGTCCTCTGGTCGCCCGCTTGGGCTGTCTGAGGGCTTGATGGGCCGTCGTAAAGCCGTCTTGGAGGCATCTTGTGCCATCGGGACGGTAGAGGTGGCCTTCCTCTGCCGTTCTGGACGTTCGGGAGCGGGGATCCATACGTTTGTTTGGAGGGATCGTGGCCTCGGCAGCGTGGATCTATAGTTTTTCCGCGAGATCGTGGCCTGGGGGGCAGGGGAAACACGCTTCTATTCAACGATGGGACTTCTTGATTTCTCGCAGCTTCTTTTCGAAAGGTTGTCTTGCTGATTCATGTGCTGACGTTTCTGCGTTTGAATCTCAAAGGGTTCCAATTCAATGTTGATCGAAGTCCTCATGCTGGGATCTGCTTCTGAGTTCCCACTCACATCACATCGTCTTATTCCAAAACTGGTGCCTCTCTCAAATAGTATTGTATTCCTGTCACATTTCTATTCAAATCCAATACAGACCCTCTGACTCTGGGACCTGTTCCATCCATGTCGCATCCCTATGATGCCCCCATTTAAATTCAGTTGAAGTCCGCTGAAAGTTGTTGCTGCCTCATTCCGATTGACATCCCAATGGGGACCCGATACAATTTCATTTGAAATCTATTGATTCACATGTCAGTTCCGTTTCTAGTGGTTCTTCTTGAATGATTCATTCCAATATGATGAGCATCCTTTTGAGTCTGGGGTCATGTACATTGAATGTATATTCTATGCGCATTTTGATATAATGAATAAAAAGCATATGTTGATCTTGCCTGCCCCCGTTATATTGAATTATAAGTGGTTTCGTTTTCAATTTCGGTGAACGTTCTTTGAATTATTTGGCATGCGCATGTCCACTTGAATTATAGTTCGAATCCCGTACACAACCAAATGAATGCGTTTGATTATGAGGTCTGACATTCCAAGACCTCATTGGCGTGGCGGTTGTCGTGGCGGTCCTGTTTTTCTTGCCCATCCCCTTCTCTGCCATCCCCTCACCGCCACTACGATCACGGATACGCCTTCCATACATCACACCCTAACATGCCGACGACAATTACGATCACGAGCGTTACCATTACAACTACTACTTTAGTAGTATTACTACTACTACTACTACTACTACTACTACTACTACTACTACTACTACTACGACCACTACCACTACTACTACTACTACTACTGCTACTACTACTAGTTCCATTACTACTACTACTACTACTACTACTACTGCTGCCACTACTACTGCTACTACGACCATCACTATTATTAATACTACTACTTAATCTACTGCCACTATTAAGACTACTACTACTACTACTACTACTACTACTACTGCTACTACTACCTGCTACTACTACTACTATTACCACTACTACTACTACTACTACTACTACTACTACTACTACTACTACTACTACTACTACTACTACTACTACTACTACTAGTACTACTACTACTACTACTACGACGACGACGACTACGACGACTACTACTACTACTACGACTACTACTACTACTACTACTACTACTACTACTACTACTACTACTAGGGTTACCCTAGAACTGTGCTTCCCCCGTGTATCCGTTGGAAGAGAGGAGGGGAGGGTCGTGGGGATTCTGGGCGGCCGAGCCGCCGCATACGTCAACCATACCACTACCATGAGAACACCATATCACTACCGAAGGAATCCGGACCGTTGCCATACGAAAGCCATACCATCATCATGAGCAAGCCCTACCAGTACACCATTCCCCATATCATAATATAACCATACAGCTACCGTAATAACGCCGTACCACTACCATCAGAACGCCATACCAGTACCAGAAGAAAGCCATATAATTATCATGAGGAGACCATACCACTACCATAAGAAAGCTGTACCAGTACCATAAGACAATCAGACCATTACCACAAGGTAACCGTGCCAATACCATAAGGTAGCCATACCAGCACCATGCGAAAACCACACCATTACCATAACCATCCCACGACCATCAGAAAGCCACATCATTGCCAGAAGAAACCAGACCAATACCATAGGACAGCTTTACCAGTACCAGGCGGAAGCCATATCATTACCATACGGAAACCGTACCATTGCCATCAAGAAACCATACCACTGCCGTAAGGAAGCCATACTATTACCATTATACAGACAACAAACCATTATTGCAAGGAAACCGTAGCATCGCCATAAGAACACCACGCCATTACCACAAGAAAACCATACGTACCATTACCATAGGAGTGCCTGTGCCATCAGAAAAATATCACCATCACCATCAGAAAACCATGCCATTATCAGACGGAAGCCATACCATTCCCATAAGAAAACCATACCACTACCATACGACAACCAAACCAATACCAGAAGAAAACCACACGATGTCCATTGGGCAACCATACCACTACCATAAACAAGCCACACCGCGACCGTAAGGAAGCCATGCCAGCACCGTAAGAACACTACTACCAAAAGGCATCCGTACCAGTACCATAAGAAAGCCGGACCAGTACCATGCGGAGCCAGAAGTTCATTAGGTGAAAACCCTGAGATTGTCATACACAAGCCATACGAATAACATAGGAACGCCGTACGATTATCATATGAGAACAATACGATTCTCACAAGTTGATCATATGCAAGCTGTACGTTTATCATATGAGTACCATACGCTTATCATAGGGCATCCAAGCCGTTACTATACGAGACCATGAGGTTATCAAGTGAAAACCAAACGCTTTTCATGCGAAATCCGTGCGTTTGCTCTGTGAAATTCATTTGGTTATAATATGACACCCTATGGTTCCCATACGAAGCCCATGCGAATCTCATATGACAACCATAAGGTTCGCATGGGAACACCATGCGGCGACCATTAGACTTCCATACCATTACCATACACCCACCGCACGGTTAGCATAGGCAAACCTTGCGACTTGCATATGGGCACGTACGATTGCCATGTGAAAGCCATGCGGTTTTCAATGGCAACCATACGGCTACCAGGTGACAGCCATACGGTTATCATAAGAGGTCATCCGATTCTCATGTTGACGCCATGCGATTGCCATATTCAACATGCGGTCACAATCTGAAAGCCATACGAACATCAAAATACAACCATACGGCTAGCAAAGGAAAACACCCCACTACCATGCGAAGCCATAAGATTACAACACGGCGCCATGCGATTGCCATACAAACCAGCATACGACTACCAGATGCAAAAACCATCGGGCTAGCATGGGAAACCATACCACTACCCTACAAAAAGCCAGGCGGCTATCATGTGACAGCGGTACGATTATCCTATGATACCCATGCTGTCATGAATTGAGAACCATACGACTACCGTGCGAGAGCCATGCGGCTATCGTATGAAAGCCGTACGAATGTCGTGCGGCAGCCGTACGACTCCCACATGACAGCCGTACGATTGCCATACGAGGGTCACACACTCATCAAATGTCCACCATACGGTTACCATGCGAAACACATCCGGTTCCCATGCGAAGCCCATGCAGCTCTGGTGTGAACGCTATGCGGTTAGCATATGAGAACCAAGCGAATCCCACACAGAGGCTTCCCACTTACCATATGTTGGTCATACGGATGT